CCACATCATTCACCTTAAGTGCAACAGTCAATCAGTTAATGAAAATACTCTTGTTCTGACTTTATGTATCGACTTCACCTCCTCTAGGTTCATGAGCATATGCAGGTTTATTTTGTTGTATATTTTTATTAAATCATTAATATTTAAGCACAAGTCTATTGTGTAAATAAGGCGACTTTTATTTCTTTAAGTCTTATTGAGGCTGTAAAAGTGGTATCATATATGTATAAAGAGAGAGAGAAAGTCACAAGATTGTGTAGTATTTCGTTAATTCACTGTAATCACTAAAATAATTTGGGTGGGGTGATGAGCCATATGATAATCGAGTAATGGGATCGGCATTTTGTTCTACGTAATAAGTCTTTAGTATTGTATGGAGTAGGCTGCAAAATTATCTTCGAGCGATTGCGCGTTCAATTTTAAACTACGAAATAAATGTTTTCAATTCGTCTAAATTTTACTTTTTCAAACTTGTTTAAAGCATAACTAGATCTTTAAAAATAAATCTGTTAAATGTTCAATGCAGATTAAGTGATTTGTAAATGACTTTAATTTAATATGTCGCTCTTTTTATGTGCTTCCAACAACTTATTCAAAGTCTGTAATCTTATTGGTAAATATCCCAAAGCCGCCTGAAAACTCATGTAATTATTATTCGTAATCAAATCTATAAACCCTAATTTTATTTGAAACTTTTTCTCCCACTGGTTAGGGTTGATTGTAGTCATAGAAATCGGTTAACATTTGTGATATTTTGTCTAAATGACATTTAAAAAACACCATGCTAATCGCGCTTGAGTTCATAATATAATTTATGCAATGCGTAATTTGCCTTTTTTCTTTCAGTGTCTATACTATGTTAAATATTGTTTTAAATTTATTTTCGTCCTACAATCTTTTTATAGAAATCATATAGCGATTAAAGGTAGTGTTTTTATCAAACAGTCATAGACGGTATCATTGAGGCGCTGATTTTCTTCTATAGGACTTGTTATATCTGTATGAAGAATAAAAGGATGATAACTGCCAGGAATTATTTATAGACTATTATTGCATATATTCTTATTAGATAACTATTAAGTAACCAGATTATATATATATATATATATATATATATATATATATATATATATATATATATATATATATATATATATATATATATATATATATATATATATTCGTACTCCTTTTATTATTAGCTTTTATTTGATCTATCGGCTACGGTTATGCGATTTGCCACTCTTAATTTGTCCCCAATTTATTAACTACAGTCTCCCATACTTACAGGCACTTTTGACTTGATCTTGTACAAATAATATTTTGCATTTTTTGATGTGGTGTGGTCTAGTTTGCTTGTATATAAACTACGTATGTCTGAAATAGACGATTCATACAGCGGAGGCTGATATAACTAATGAAAGTATGTAAGAAGAGTAGAATAAAACATTATATTTTGTTTTTTTTTACCGACTAAGACTGAATTGTAGAAATTACTGTATCACTAAAATCACTGGTTATTATACTATGGTGCTTGAGGCATCGTTTCACGTGTCCCGCCCCGAGACATCTCAAGGATACATAATTATGTTTACTATTAAAATTATTGCTTTGTTTCATTGGTTATTAAGTAGTAATTCAAAAATATATTATTACTTAGTGTTTTGTATTTTGCAAAAACTCATATAAAGTAACAGTCTCTTTACACTAGGAACAGTGTAGATTTGTAGAAATTGTTTAGTGATGTTTCTTATTGTCTACAATGTAATTTTATTGGAGACAATGTACGATAAAGAATTCCGACGGGATTTTTTTTATATTGTAGACAGAAAGAATTATTTAAAACTGAATAGGTTAGTTGATAACCTTGTAAATAATTAAATAAATGTCAATACTAACACAAAATTGAACGTATGATGGTTTATTTATATACTTGAAAAAAGATTCTTACAAATAGATATACATTTACTGGCAGTAAATTTATGTTTTCCCCATCGGTATGATTGGCATTATCAATCACATGCATAATCTTAATTACTTAACTGTATTCAAATTTCACTAGTTGAATTAATGAGTCAATTGAAGCTAGACCACTATGGAAAACCTGGAAGCACTGGACGGCCGTTTCGTCCTAGTATGGGACTCCTCCGCAGTGCACATCTACGATCTCGCCCTTCACGAGATTCGAACCCAGGACCTATCAGGCTTAACCATCAGACCACTGAACCGGGATCCAACGGTGTTAATGTCTAACTTCATCCAATCCATGAAATTGCGCCACCGTCCACCATTGTCTTCGGTGAGCTGATATCTCACAACAAACCTGGTTGAACTCCACTGGTCACGGCTTCTCACTAGAACTCCAGGAAATGCCTCTTGAAGTCAGTCACTAGTGAGTAGCTGAGAGGTCCCATACTCGGACGAAACGGCCATCCAGTGCTTCCAGGTTTTCTATGGTGGTCTAGCTTCAATTGACTCATGATTTCAACTATTTAAATTACTAAAATCTCCACGAAACCCCTTCTGTATTCAAATTGTTCGCATTTCTAAGTCCTACAAAATTTTATCAACTTTTTAAATAACTTGAGTGATTCTATTAGTTTAATTCTGAGTTGATTTACAAAATTCTACTTATCGAAAAATAATTATTTCCTGTTTGTTAACGTTTTTCAAAATTATTGTATTCTGATAAAATTATCTTATTATTAGGTAATGGACTGAAAGGATCTAGATAAATGATTACATAATTTAAACTATAATACTTAGTATACTAAGGTTTATTGAAACCTTAGCCTTACAGAAATTGAAACCCCATTTATGCGTTCAAAAACAATTTGTCCTTACCCTTAACCTACCCTGGTAATATTGATTTATTATCCAGAGTCCTTATCACGTTGTTTTTGTGTACTGTATTTATTTTTCACAGATTTAAATCATGAGTCAGTTGAAGCTAGACCACCATTGAAAACCTGGAAGTACTGGACGGCCGTTTCGTCCTAGTACGGGACTCCTCAGCAGTGCGCATCCACGATCCCGCACCACGCGGGGCTCGAGCCCAGGACCTACTGGCTTCGCGCGCGAGCACTTAACCATTAGACCACTGAGCCGGCATCCAACGGTGTTAATGTCTAACTTCAACCAATCCACGAAGTTGCGCCACCATATACCATTGTCTTCAGTGAGCTGATATCTCACAACAGACCTGGTTGTACTCCACAGGTGACGGCTTCCCACTAGAACTCCATGAGTATCTCTTGAAGTCAGTCACTAGTGAGCATCTGATCATTATCAGGAGGGGTTTGTGGAGATTTTAGAAATTTTCACAGATTTCTTTGTTATGGCTTATTTTTAACCTGTCTAGTTGACCTTTAATTTTCATATAAAAATGTCTTAACAAGTATATGTATGATCAGATTATTCGAAATGTATTGTGCAAATATATCTCATGATTCTGATAAACTTCGTCTTCTCATTGCATTATCGAGATTTATCAAAGGGATTAATTGTTTTAAAATCCTTAGGTTAAATTATTCACGATTTAGTTTCTTTTTCAATTAGCAAGTATTATACTTGTTATGAAAACTAATTCAACTAGTAGTATCCAACGTTTATATTAAACAAATTTAATAAACATGATATAATCATAGTACTTTTTCAGTACACTTATTAAAAACAGGTTTAGAAAAATATAGATATACATTTGACTTTCTACTCTTTTATGTTAGATACTTATCTTGAATGTTCTTTCTCTCATTCTTACTGTTTCTATTTACTGCATGACAAAAACAAACACACACAAAGTATCAACTCTACAACCGCGTGTACTATTATGTAATTTATTGATCATCATATATTCATGACAAGACATTTATTCATGATTATCTCCAACTATTTTTTCCTCCTGAAATCGTTATTTTGTCTATATTGCTAATTCAAGTAACTTTTATATTCACCATCTTCACAATTGTCACATGTTCTTTTTTCGAGTCATACTTAATCATAATGCATTCATTTCCTAAATACAATAACATAATTTATGATTCATAAATATGCATAATTTTGTGGCCTAATAACATTTCAATTAATTTAATGATAAAATATCAATTCAATTACTTGATATTGTTTTATTTGAATCTTCCCATTGATGTTTTAGGACTGAAGTTGATCAGTCTCTTATTGGCATATGTGCATACTGTGCGTATGCCTCTATATTGCCTTAATTTACAAGCATTATAAGCAGAGATGCAGGTACATCCAGCTGACGAGTCCCAAGCAGGACGAAACGCACGTCCTGGATTCCACTGCTAGCCACTATCCATCTCTGCTTATCAATTCAATTGTTTATATAAATGTTACTTTCTCACTGTAATCGAAATTCGTTTTAGATTACTTTTTTTCACATAGTATTACATGTGTGTGCGCGTTTTTCTCCAGAATAATTGTCTGAAATATATTCATAAAAGTTGTTATATGCTAACTAATTTCACTATATCATGAGTTAATTTATTCTTGGACAAAAGCCATTCATTACAGATTCTGAAAATCATTGATGAAGTAATTTCTATTCTAAAAGTAGATGATATTACGTAATATAGTTATCGAATAGTGATATATATATTGCATAGTCTTCGTCTCTAATAGTCCTCAGTTTCTAATGCTGTTGAGAGCGATTAGATGTCTGAATTTTCCTTGTATTACCTTGATCCGTCGCAGGATTATGGGTATGCCTTACTGAGGAATTTTATACTAGGACGAAATATCTGTCCAGTAGTGCTTCTCACTTTTCCCATGTACCCTAACTAAGTTCAATCTGTAACAAATAAAATAATCTTCACAAAACAAGAATATGTACGTGTTATCATTGTTATTAAATTCAAATCATTATCACCTAATAATTATCCTATTCCTTTTTCATTGATTATCTGAAACTATAATTGCATTTTGAAATGTATAATTCTTATTTGTTTGTCTACTTTTTTCTCCATCATTTCTTATTATAGATTTATATGATCGCTGAAGCAATTACAGATGCTGGTGTTCTATTAGGTTTACCACGTCCAATCGCACAAAAACTAATTGTCAATACTATATTAGGCTCAGCTGTAATGATGCAAAAAACTGGCAAAAGTACAACTGAATTAAAAGTAAACTGTTGTTACATATATATATATATATATATATATATATATATATATATATATATATATATATATATATATATATATATACAAGTTGAAACAGTGAACGTTCTTAGTCAATTAAATTACAGTGGTAGCATATGTATTGACCTAGCATCATATAATAATGATTACTACTTACTTACTTACGCCTGTTACTCCTAATGGAGCATAGGCTACCGACCAGCATTCTCCAACCCACTCTGTCCTGGGCCTTCTTTTCTAGTTCCATCCAATTCTTGTTCATTTTTCTCATGTCTATTTCCATTTCCCGGCGTAATGTGTTCTTTGGTCTTCCTCCCTTCCTTTGGCCTTGAGGATTCCATGTGAGGGCTTGTCTTGTGACGCAGTTGAGTGCTTTCCTCAACGTGTGTCCCATACACTTCCAGCCCTTCTTCCTGATTTCTTCCTTCACTGTGATCAGGTTTGTTCTCTCCCACAGTAGGCTGTTGCTAATAGTGTCCGGCCAACGAATCCGAAGTATTTTGCGTAGACAACTGTTAATAAACACCTGTATCTTCTGGATGATGGGTTTCGTAGTTCTCCAGGTTTCTGCAGCATACAGTAGAACTGTCTTGACATTTGTATTGAAAATCCTGACCTTGTTGTTGGCTGACAGTTGCTTTGAATTCCAGACGTTCCTCTGTTGTAAATATGCTGCTCTTGCTTTACCGATCCGCGCCTTCACATCTACATCAGATCGATCCTGTTCATCAATGATGCTGCCCAGATATGTAAAGGTTTTTACATCTTCCAAATCTTCTCCGTCAACTGTGATTGGATTGGTGCATGCTGTGTTGTATCGGAGAATCCTGCTATTCCCTTTGTGTATATTGAGACCTACTGCTGCTGCTACACTGGTCGTTTTTTCCTGCATTCGTTGTTGCGTTTGGGATGGAAGGGCCAGATCATCTAGATCGTCCAATTGCATCCTAGATGTCCATTGTATCCCGTGTTTATCTTCAGATGTTGACGTCTTCATGATCCAGTCGATCACCAGGAGAAAGAGAAATGGTGAGAGTGAGCAACATTGCCTGACACCGGTCTTTATTTCGAACGACTTTGTCAACTGTCCTCCATGCACGATTTTGCAGTCTAATCCATCATTTGAGTTCTGTATGATATTGACTATCTTCTGAGGCACGCCGTAGTGTCGAAGAAGATGATTAGTGTATATCAAAACAATGTAATAAGGTTACATTTTTCTTTAATGACTCAATTTATCAATACTAGTATCTTTGGAAAACGATCTTTCTTTATACCATAAATGTGGTGCAGAATTTGCTTTAACAATGCCTTGATCTTCATTATTTTTTTAAAAAAAGAAAAGAAAAACTGTTTCACGTAATCACAACCGATTAAATACAGTTTTGTTGTCATATATAATAAAGTTTATACCAAACAATAATTAATCTACTAGAAATCATTTGAGATGATTACAAAACAAAAATCAATAATAGTAAAGTAACGTAACATTTAGAATATAATGTAAACTAATCAAAACGATATTAGTGAGATCGATAAACAACTCATTCAGAATGGATACTTTCAATCATTATATCCTTTGAACTGGATAGATCATTGGTTGACATTTGGGGGAGGGAGGTTTATGTTAGATTTTAATTTGGTTTTTATAACTTCTACACCTTGAATAAACCAAAGAAGTAGCGATTATGTTTGTTTTTAATTAACTGCATTTTATGGTACATTTCAATAAATAAATCACCAACTGATAGTTATAATTAATAGGCTTATTCGTTTAAATGAAAATTCAATTTTCTACCAATCACTAGTCTTCAACTGTTGTAAAATATTTTCATTGAAATGTATTATTTGCATTTCATGTAGTGTATTATTGAATCTGTTTATATTACTGCTATGATTAATTTTTAAAGGTTTATTCCAAATTGATAAGAATCAAACTGTATGTTGTCATTTTATTGTTAATCATCAAAAAATGAGAAAAATATTTCAGCTAAACTACTATATGCCCTAGGACTTAACAGCATTGTTGTTCCTAACGCGTAACCGGAGAAAGTTAGATTCAATTGTTCACAATGAGGAATACGTTTATGCTTCCATGGATCTCCATTTAAAGCAGTAGCGTTCAAAAAGGTTATGACATATTGCAAAAAATTAGCACTAGAGAAACTTTAATTATAATCGGCATCAAGGAGTTGTGTTTCCAATCTTTACAGTCATGTTCCACAATCGATAAAACTATCAATATCACTTCCATCTTTTTAGTTATTTCAAGAAGAAATAATCTTCTAAGATGTATGATATTACAATGTATCAGTCAGTCACACATCTATAACACTACTGAAGTTTAACATAAATCTAGAAAGCGTTAGTGATTTCGGAAAAATTAAGGAGTTGGACAACTCAAGTATGTAGATTATCATAAGCCTCAAACAAATAATTCCATCTAATGGTGTCAATCTGTTTTTTAGTGTGTCCTCTACTGACTGATGAAAAGTAGGTTATAGTGTTTAATGATAAGTTTCGTTTTCAAAATTTTGCTAACTGTATTTTTAGTTGTGTCGGGATGAAAATATTATAGTTTTTCTTTATTAAAATATGTGTGTTTATACAGAATGAAGTTTGCTCACCTGGCGGGACAACAATTCAAGGTGTTTATGCTTTAGAGAAAGGTAATCTACGAGCTACACTTATGGATGCAGTGCAGAAAGTTTGTGCACGTGGAGAAGAATTGAGCAAGAAGTCCTAATGTTTTATGCACTATTTTCCATAGTTCTGTTACTCTATGAAGTGTGTGTAATATTTCTTCTGTATGTTATTACAAACATCATATTCAGTAACAATGTTCGTTGTATTTAAAAGCGTGTATCTGAAAAAATTTTCAGTTACGATTTATTCTGGTGTTCAAGATCTTTGTAAGGGAATTTTACTCAACATCGAAATGGGCTTAATTGAGAGTTTATTGTAACTAATAGAGGACTTCCTTACATTCTCGGCTCTGTACACTTTTTTTATATAATACACTGTATATTTATTTGATAATTCTATAGATGATAGGCTACTTCAATCATTAATGTTATAACTCCAGTGGCTTATTTTCAGTTTTTCATTATGTATTTTTACTGTGAATGTTTTCTTGCTAGTTAAATCAATTACTTGAACGTACATTTTGATACTAAAATTTAGAAAAAAGTGAATTCGTATTTCTGTTTGAATTGTTTTTCAGTAATTTACTAACTATTCTCTGTTGTTAATTTTAAGTAGAGATTTCTGTGCACTAACTTGGTTCCATTTATTAGAAAAAAATGATAAGTTGATATGGTCATTGAATTTCAATATTTTTATCGATAAAAAGACCTGAACATAATATAAGTATCAGTAGTCTTAGTTGGATAGAATATTAATGACTAACTAGTTGGTTATAAGGTAGTTAATATTAAGATAAATGGAATTATTAATTCAGAAAGAGCATCATTGTGATCAGGTCAAATTATTAACTCAGCTGATTATATGCGTTATCATGTCAGAATGACTATGCATAAACAATATCGTCATTTGCAAATCACAGTATATTAAAACGAACTCGCTGTTTCCTTACAAACTAAGACAACAAACAGTTCGTAGAAAGTAAAAACTATCAAGAGATTATCAGGTCGATTGATCAAAGCTTAAAATTCGTTATGTCATAGTTTTGTGATGACAAATTATAGTCACTAGGTTATTTTAATGTGTAGTTCTATGAAATAGAAATTCTAATTGAAATATTCAATTCTTGAAATAATAATAAATTAGACTTTTTGTCTAAAACGTGTTTTTACCTCAGGTTATACTGTTTCGGACCATAGATGTGCTGATATAGAGGTATTGATTTACGTTATCAATCACATAATAACCAGATGTACATTAGGTTCGAAGTCAAATGAATCGATCGAGTTGGTTACTTATAAAAAATCTGTAGGTTAAACATTGTCGAACTTTAATATGAATGTACAGGAATGAATTGGTCTTTCAGACTCCATATAGTTTCAACCAGTTATTATAGTTTGCTGCATACATCGTCAAGTTTTAAGACTTATGTTGTAAAAGGTATTCCACATTGTCATATGACTCATAAGCAAAAAATATGGTGCCTGTAAGACATGGATTTACAAAACTAATAAATAACTTTGTCTAATATGTTCAGGAAACCAATCGGTAATTTTTTGTTTAACAAGAGAAAAATATCTTGATGTCAAACAGTGATTATTCAAATACAGTGAAAAATTTCCATCCGTTTGTTGCTTGGATTTAATTTTATTTACAGCTGGTGTATGCTGTTTATAACATAATCGAACAAAAATTCACCTTTTTAGAAAGAAGAAATGATTATGAATAAATTACAGCTGTTAACATCATACATGATGGGGAACACACTGGTAACTTTCAAAAGGCACAACTGTATGCGCATTTCAGAAAATTGAAATTATTTTTAGACGGTTTCATACAAACAAAAAGATACAACGAAACTGGAATTATAATGACTATACTTGTTTAAAGCACGTATAGTAGAAGTATGGAGAAACAGTTAGTACAATGAAATATGGTCAATATGCAGAGATTTTTCTACTATCATATAACCGATGGTGACTTTTACGTATGCCTGACAAAATAACGTTATACAGATGACCGACACTAGGTAATAACTGCTAATGTTTATTTTGTTCTAATTAATTCACAGGTCAAAGTCATTTCAAGTTTCCTACAGTCATTTCTCAGAGCTAATAAGCAATGCTCTGGAAAAAAGTCAAGCTGAGACTGTGCATAAAAACTGCGTAAACCAGTGAATCTATAATTGTTCTTTTTTGGGTTCGCCCATCTACATTTATATTTGAACTTGTAACGCAAAAATCATAAACATCACTGACTCATTAAACATATCTACCATACGACTGTTAACCGTATCACTTCACCGTTCAGAAATAAGTTGACAGAAAAGATGTGAATAAAGTAAACACGACAATCTATGGACTCAAACAGATTATTTAACCTTCACTATTTAATAACCCATCAGGTAATGAGCGATTTTTATAAAACACAGTTTAATAATACAGATATATGTATATGTACAAAGTGTTATTTCGTTTTCTTGTCTTGCACTGTCAGACCTATTTATAAAAATCAAATAAAAATGGTACCATCATATAAGTTTATCAATAAATAATGTTTAAAGATGTCTCAGCATAATCCCCACATAATAAGAGCTGGACAACAAGCATATATTCAAAGGTAGTGAGTTGAACAATAGGATAGGATAGAAACACACAATCAGATGTTGGAAACACGCTATATTTATATAAGTAAGCTTTTAAGTAGTCATATAAACTCAAAATTATACTGCTTGCATTTAAATGTTTTAAAGTAAATAAAAGAAAAAAACTGGAAGACAATAAAAGTATCACTTATGAATGATTTCTCTAAAAACAAGCACATACATTATGGAGTTCAAGAAATGAGTAAACATATGTGTACAAGTTTGTTAAGAACCAGAAGTTTTGTGAAATGCAAAAATGGACACAATCAAAAAGTTATATAAAAAAAATGGTGGAATGTGTTAACAAATATTTGTTGATACAGAACAATCAGAGAATAATATAATGGTAAGATAGGTAGTAAAAAATATGACATTTCACAATAATTTATTTATACTGACACAAAGAGATAAAGAACGAGATCGATAATTGTTCATTCAATTTCATGGGATAGGTGATAAAGTTGGCACTGTACGAGTATCTGTGGATGATCGACTTCTTAAAAAATTCCATTTCTTATAAGATGGTATACTAGGTGGTGATACCGTAGTGACTGGTGGAATAAAATTATTATTGGTAATAATTTGACTATGACGATGGGATGGTGAATGGATTGCATTGTCTGCTAATTCAGTAGGTCTACTAGCTAACCATCGTCCGCTTGATGGAAGTAAGTAAGTACAATGTTTTATAAGTAATTCTATTAAGGTATGTTCAAAAAGTGTTCCAGCTAAACAACTTATAGGATCAGTATAAGATGAACTCAGTAGAGTAGGTGATAGGACAATAGCTAAATTAGCTGCAGTCATCATATTCACATCTTGCTTTTCAGCTACTCTGTAAAAAATATTTTAAAAATGAATATTTCAACATCAAACTTTTAATTATGTGTCAATTGAAAAAAACTATATTAATAATGAGAGTACAATATGCACTCCTTGAATAATTTTAATGTATAAGCAAACTTAATTACGTATTTTGGCAGCTTTTACATCTATTTTGTTTACCAAGATTGTTGAGCTTTTGATAGAGAAAATTCAATCACAATTATTGATAATGAAGTGGTATAGACTATAGAAAAAGACTAATTTGAAAACCAAACTCTAAAATAGTACACAAACTAACATTTCTAATCGAATTTCAGTTTAGCCGAATGTGTAAATCTGAAATGGAAATGGTTGGAAGTTAGGGGCGGCCAAACCAAAACGTTGCATCAGTGCTTAAAATCACTAACTTCTAGTCTGAGCCATGTTGGTAGATGCAGACTACTTGGTTGGGGTCCGCGTGACTATCGTAACCAATGGTTGGAGACTCTTGGTGACATGGCTCAGAATCGATCACAATGGCGTCGGTGTATACACTTCCTGTCTTCCCTTAAACTAAGAGATTAAAAGCGCTTCATATCTTTCTTTCTACGAACCAATTCTTTCTTCTTGTACTATATCTCTATATGCAATCTTTCTCTTATATATTACCACCTTTTACCTAACCACTGTTATGAATCCGGTGTTCATCTTGTTGTGCCGATGCGGTATGGCAACCTGGACCGATGCACATATGTGCCTGGTCCTACGTTGTAGCTGACTGACTGACTGTAAATCTGATCTAGGTATTGCGGATTATCATTTTTTGGATTTTGTTAGTCGAAATAAACAAGCTGTTATATTAACACAGTGATTGTGTTCATTTTCTTCATAGATATCTGTCGATTGTTTCCCTGAAATAAGCTCTCTATAAATGGCCATTATTATGTCGTTGGTTGATTGATTATCCCTATCGATAACAGAATGAAATAACTATCTTGCTTCTAAAAGTCCTTTGACCAAATTTACGATAATTCAACTCATAACTTTAAAAGTAGGTCAGTCAAATTATGTTCATATGAAATGAGCGAAGATATGCTGTGATATCTGAAAAAGAATTCATGCTTCCGCGCACAAGGACGGCGACAGCTTTGTCAGGTGTAATATTTACAGCAGCTGTAATAGTCTGTTCAGCCTTCCCCTGTTCTTAAAAAACAATATGTCTTTGTAGTTGTGACGTTTCATCTGTAGAGTAAGACAATCTATTTGTTAGTCTTTACAGTTGATTTCGTGCCTGACACGCTACACGGTTATTCATTCTTTAAAAAGCAAGCTAATATTTTTCTGTACTTTTCGGATTGTATATTAGATATAAATTTTCTCGCAGAGCTATGTAATCCAGCTTCCTTCATGTTAAGTTGTGCCTCATTTCAACAGACAGCTGTTCGTTAGTAACCTCATTCAGAGAATTAATGACAGAACATACTGATGAGGACAACTAATAAGTGAAAATACGAGTAGTTTGTACTGAAAGCCTTAGTTTTGATAAAACCCTCTCATTTTCCATAATACAATGAAAACAAGAAGGCTATCCATGCTTGTAGGATTTTGAGGTGGTGACAAGGTGAAAAAAGAATATGACATAATCAATAAGTGATTAATAAATCAAAAAACCTCGAAAATATATTAAGTGATGGAAACCTGGTACCATTATAATACTAACAATTTAAACATTTAAAGTTTATTTATTATTACCTGTGTATATGGTTTATAAAATAACGCAAACTTTCATAATGTGCACCGGGTAAGCGAGCAAATATTTTTCTTAACAAATCTAATTTCTCTTGTTCATTCAGTCGATCATCTCCTACAAATGAAGTGTATATACAAAATTATTATCAAAGTTGTTACATCTGTAAAACTGAATAAAAACAACAGCTTGATCTAGTTGGATTCCGAATAGATAAAATAATTATCAATTGACCGAATTCAAACAAATTATCTACTACTAATTAGCACACTCCAGTAAGAAGTAGAATTTTAAAAACTTATAAAAATAAATAATGATGATAATGTATAAAATTTCTAAACCTACATTTTATGTGTACAGGGTGGAAAATCCTGAACCCAGGAGACTGAACAGGCTACGAAACCATGACTTAATGATTAAGGCCCTGATATAAACACTAAATCATTGATGAGAAGAGCGTTTTATGGCAACTGATAAAGATTACCGCTTTTGTCTAACTATTCAGTCATTTTGATGTTTGGTTTTAGAATGTGAAATTTTATTTCTACAATTTGTTTAATTAATAGGAAGTTTATATAACACCAAAGATGACAGCAAAAAACAATCTAGGGGGAATCGATCAATTAAAAACTAATGTGAATTCTTAAAGCTCATGAATCTACTCTACCAGGAATCTGTTAAAAATCAGTTGAAAATGTTGTAAATCTTCATTGATTGAGGTTGTTAGAACAAGTATTATATATGCCTGATCACTGCTACCTCGAACGGCGACACCTTTTAGTCCGAAGGTAGGCTGCAAGAGACCTTGAGGCAACCTAACCAAAACAGTATCAGTTCATGAAAACTGACTAGCAGTAGACAAACTGGTTAAGGTCTATGTGATAACAGCGACCAGTGCTTGAAGATTTTGGGAGACCTTGTTTGAATTTGTTTACTGTTACAATCATTAATTAAAATTCAACTAACTTATGCACCAGGAAATTAGAAATGATCTAGTGATACTACTCGGTTGCTTAGACTGCAGTCGGTGGAGCGGTGTTCAATCCAGGAACTTAGTGGCCAAAATTTGAATGTCTTAACCAGTAGGCCACAACTCGATGCAGTCATTTTGTAAAACTCAACAGAATACCTTAAAATCAACTGAAAGTTGCATGCACTAACATTCTTACAATAAGAAAACATAACAATTTTTAAAGCTGACAGTGTATTATTAAATCACTTAAAATATGTTATGATTTTTAAAAAAATCGGCTTATTAGATTTGTGTGTTTTGGTTTATTCATAACTTTTTAATTGTGTGAGTGAAAACTTCCTGACGTATAAACAGAAAACTTTTAATAGAATATATTTTTTCCAAAAAAAACTTAAGGGAAATAATGAACGAAGGGAAAGGTTAATAAACATGCTATTCTTCATACTATTAAAAAATATGGAGACGCAGACACACACACACGAGCAGAAACACATTCAAATAAGACTGTTGTTTTTTCTTAAATTTCTCGCTTCATACAGCACGAAGACAAAATATTATTTTTAGACTAATTATTTTTCGAAAAACAAAGAAATCCGTTTTCATAGAAGAGGTACACACAAAGATAGATTGAAAGGAGCTAAACTTACTGATATGTGCAAAAAGTAACAGGAGAAAACACTAAAATAGTTTTACATTTGGTTTCATATATAGTTAAGTCAAAAGTAATAACAAAGTTGATTGATAAATGGGTCCTGTCTAATATCCAAAGGAATAAAAAAATATTGTGGTACAAATGTGAATTGTATAGAATAAAGACTACTATTCTCATATATACATACTTTTAAAGTATGCATTACCACCACTTCATTTAGAGAATTGAAGTAAAAGATGCAAAATACGAAAATTCTAAATACTAAAAGAATACATGTAGACACATACTTAGACAGAATCTAATTGCTCTTCATCTTTCTCAGGTATGCAAGCGCATATATAAATGTTCTCGTCATTAATCAAACATAATAATACTATCAAACCAAATTACTTATGGAAAATGTATAAAACCGAATTATCTGTTATTAATTTATAATTGTTTATATGGTCATTGAAAGTGATGGCGAATTCGACAAATCTAAGTAAACCAATGATAGGAGGATGGCCAGAATATGCGTCAACAAAGCACAATCGGCAGAAAAACAAAACTGTTGACGTGCCTAAATTATCAATATTCGTTATGTACTAACGGAATTATTAGACAAATACTCAGTGTCAATATAACAAATGTCTCGGTGTTAATTCGGTATAATATATCAGAAGCAAACGATGATCTAGTTAATTCAAAGTCACATACATACTGTAGAAACATTACTACAGACACAAACTTGTATACGTTAACTAGAAATAAATTAATTTTATCAGATTTGTTGAAGAAAAGAGATGATGGCTAACAATGGAGTCCAAGATGCAAGTTTTGTCCGATCTACAACTTGTCAGGTGAACGTACCTGAATCCCACAGTTGATGCTTACCATGGGTCTCGAATCCAATACCGTTTGTTTTAAACAGCGTCACGTTACCCATTTAGCAACTGAGATAAAATCAATTTATTGATTCATGCAAAATTACTGAGTGATTTCGTAAAATATGAATACCATACATTGAGTACATCATTTGGACATCTTCCTTTAGCTGCCCTTTACGTGTCTCATGATTCTTTCAATTCTGTTTTTATTTTAATTGCTGTTTTCTTTCCTGTTCTCTTCAATTCAATTTTCTGCAGGCAGGCATTCCACTTCCGACTGCTGTTACTTACTACTTATATTTGTCAACATAAGTGGTATGCCCTACGATACTACTGCTAGTCTAAATCTATTTATCTTTGAAAAAACTTGTGACCAAATAGCTATTCTAAATAAGGCCTATATATGCTAATAAAGGCTGATCAAAATTCAGTCATGAACTTCATAATTCAAACCGTTTCTAATGATAATATGTAAAAGCATGTTTGAATTGTTTTTAACTATGCATTCCACCCTAACATTACTAGCTTATTATTGAATCAAATTTTTCATATACAAATATCATTGAATAAACAACTAAATAAAAATGATCTAAGATTAAAATGGGAAAATATTTTCCACAGATGATATTGATTTAATCGTCCATAAAAAACCCAGAAAACGCTAAACTTTTAGTAATTTTGCTTACTTTTTTTAAAAAAAAACCAAGAGCATATGATATAGGCATAAAATTTAGAGCAGAAAACAAACGAAAAAAATAGACTACAATTTCTTTATACAGGGAATCTCGGAAGTCACGAGATCATGTCTGAAAATAATAGTTGTGTATGAATATCTATGTTGCATTACAAAATGATATAAATGATGCAAATATGAGGAATTAGAATATTGAAAACCAAACGTATGAGTATGTTCATTTAAACTCTAAACAGAGCTTAAGCCAGTTTTATCAGTCATTAGCCAAGAAATAGAATAGTTTATAAGAGTAAGAAAAAGTCAAATAACAAAGTAGGACGATCAACTAAAAGATTTTTTTAAAAACATCTTTTCCTGCACTCTACAGTAATAATCAGCAGGTCAAAGACCACTCTAAGAGAAGTACATTCATTAAAAGCCACAAAAAACAAATGAATGATGAAGCTCACTGGTATAGTCTAAATGGTCATTTAATTAGACGAGTGATTAGAAGAAATGACGGAAGATCTTGTGTGATGCAAAGATAGCTTGGTTTTACTAAATACCACAATATTAGAAATCAGTATCTAGTATCAGCTAGTAACACACTGATACAGATCTACTCCAGAAGTACCTATATTCTAAATGAATACAAGTACGTTTACTAACTGTGCGGGTTGAAACATTTATTTAAAAATATAAACATTAGTAAAACGAGGCACCAAATACATATGCACCACACAAATCATTTGATTCGTGTGACGGCTGAAATGCTTCCCGGGTGCTCAGACCGAAGAGGGTGGTTTCCTTAGGGGACCACACCTGGAGCCTTCGACCTATAGGTCTGATCCACAAGGCAGTGGAGCAACGTCAGGATATGCAGTCCCATGGTAGCCGGTGACCAACAATAGGTTAATACGCCATTTGTTTCCTTAGGATCCTAGAGCCCATGTGCACCATTGGTTTGGAATCAGTGTTTTCCGGCTCCCCTATATGGACCCTCCAAATCCACTAACCCGGTTAAAGCACCGGACATTCGCTTTTCGTCCTCTCAATTTCGTGAACAACAGTTCCCTGGTAATGGTTGTATACGCGTGGCTATGTGAGAGCTCTATCGACTCTTGGTCGTACCAGAGCATCTGGGGGCTGATTTAAACATGTTTTATCAGTATACCTTTTTGTGTACGGTACTTTGTTAGGATAAAAACAACAAAGAAGTAATAGGATAAAATCATTAACTGACAAGCATTTAAGAGAGTAGGTTCAGTTTGTAATAAGTTTATATCAGTCATTAAACTCGTTTAGTATTGCAGTTTAGAACAATGTTTTATTCACTAATGAAAATGCTTCAGATAATATTGAAAATTTCAATAAATCACATCAACTTATGTCTTGGGAATTTGATGTTACCTAATATTATATTTACTTTTTCCTCTATTGATGATGTTGGATTTTCGCTAAGCTGGAAGGTTCGATTAAGAATATTGCATCGTTGTTCTGAACAACATTATGAATCCGTAACTTCTTTCCTTTCTAGCTAGTTAACATGTAAAGTTTAAAAAAAGTGAACCGTCTCATTTAGCGAAAAACCAACAAGGCATCACTCTCAAACATTTATTTCTTGTCATTGCTTTGGTGTTTTAATTGTATAGAACTAATTGGGAGCAAGAACAAATTGGGACCGAAAGTAAAAAGACAAACGCGTATTGAAATTTTATCCATTCAATTCTTTAAATGAATTTGGCTGGGGAATAAAAATCAATGATATATAACCAAGTAAGCAACTAGATTAGTCATTGATATTTAAAATGAACTTCAGTGTCCATTAAGAAGACCTAGTAAATCAGACGTATATCATATAAATATACACTTCTGACAAAGTCATGATTAAATTGTTTCGGTTTTTAAACAAAAAATTCAATCTAACAGTTTTCTCTACTGAATACGATCGAAGTGATGAACAAACAAAAATCAAAGTAATATTTGTATATATTACTGATTCATTGGAAGATTAAAATATCATGTAACTTTGTTTTTACTTACTAACAACATCCAGTAAATCTGGATATGCTTCATAGGTGATTAATGGAACAGGCAATTGACGCAGAAATGATTTAATCAAACTTGTCAAAACATTGATATCTCGAACACGTGCCTCAGATACATTTGCCAATTCCGGATCTGAGAGAAAGACATTTAAACAAGTAAATATGATATATATATATATATATATATATATATATATATATATAATATATATATATATATATATATATATATATATATATATATATATATAACTAAAAAATAGCATCTTTGATCCTGAAACCAATGTGATTCAAATTTAGAAGACGACCATACAATTCCATAATAATCACGCTAATATTTGACAAACAAAATTAGTGAATTAAAAATAAACTACTTAATTCATAGACACATATTTGCGCAGAAGTAAAATTTAAATTAAACAACAATTTTGGAAATTTTTTCAGTTATATCAACTAAATTACGTACAGGTTAAACAATTACATGATAAATTTCAAGAGTATGCTGAAACAGTAAAATAAAACCACTGCGTTGACTCATACATTGTTTCATCCTCTCTCGCTAAAACAAAATTGCTAGTCTCGCACACTTTAGTCATATCAGTACGATATTTTGAACTGTATTTGATCAGTAGATAAACTATGACGAGATGTGAGGCGAACCACTACTGCATCATATGATTCGTGTTCGATAGTTTTCATTGAAAAACACTAGAATTGAAGTAACATATTCGCTCTACGAAAAATGAAATAGTCTTTACTTATCAAGTTAAATTTACAAATGAAGTACAACTCAGGTTCTTGAATACAAAACTACTGACATGAAACTATTGCATTTATATTAACCGAGTTGCGTCAAACGCGTTATAATTAATGTCATGTTAGCTATTTAGGTAAAGTAGTACATACCTATTCTTTTAAATAATTCGTATCGATTTCAAGATGTTGATATATCACATTTTGGATTAGACTCAACAACCTTTCTGTGCTTTATGGAACAATCAGAGTAAATTTATTTGCCAAACAATAAACAGAAACGCATACACTAGGAAAAAACGATTATCTAGTGTTTTCTGGTGCTTAATAGTTGTCTAACTTCGTTTAGTGTGAGATGTGAACCAAATAATTCACAAAATTCACACGGGCTTATAATAATCAGTTGTAATTAAAGTGGAGTCTATGAAAAATGTGTATCGGCTTGAAGCGTTATAGATATTGTGAAGTAGTTGCTAACAGATGAGGTAAAAAAAACCCTCAGGGAGTCGAAATAATGACAATTGACATAAAACGTGACCACTACAAAACCTTAGGATCTCGCCGTGGACTTAATCGGCGGTCCGCTTGGATTACCTGCTCATATCATCTAGATATTTCAACATATTACCTGTCTCCTGTTTGTTTCAACACATCATTATGTCTATTAATCACATGAACTATTCAGGTGCGTTTACGACCTTTCGGTGTGAAAGTTACAAAAAATTACAATCAGAGACATCGTGTTGGCTGGTAATATACGTTGGAAAGAATGAACATTATTCAGATGTCGATTCCTGAAGTGCTAGCATCTGACTGGCGGTCATTCAATATTTATCGTCAGGATCAATCAAGAAATCAGAAAAGGAAATAATTTGCACTGAGAATTGTATTTTGTACCGAAAATATAATATCGAATAAAACCATTAATAATAATAATAATAATAATAATAATAATAATAATAATAATAATATTATTATTATTATTATTATCATGAGAATTGTTAATACTTCTTTATTTGCATTTGTGCAAAAATACATCTCTGGATTGACAGTGCAAGAAAAATAAAATATGAAAGATGAATAATTCATAAAACGTTATTTTGTTCAAGTAAACCAACCTTTATCAAATTCAGTACGTAATTCTTCCACAAGATCATAATTTCCAGGAATACGATAAAGGCCTTCACAACGCAAACCATCTCGACGTTCTACTTCTTGAATGCATTTAATTAGCAGAGTTGGCACAGTCCTACAATAAAAATATCAGGGTTGAATGGATATCTACGAAAAACAAAGATCGATCGTCATTGCAGAATATTTTTTCCTTTGTTGCAACTTCCACTAGTCATAAATATGATAATATATCAAAATATATCAAAAATATTGATAAAATTAAAGTTACTTAATTTATAGTTGGTATGCGATAATCATGCAAAATTAACTCAAGTAGAAAATAATAACACAGGATAAAATGTGAGCATAAAAAAAACTAAAATCGATGGATGAAAATTTAGGAATAATACTCAACTTGAGATCTAGAAGAATACATGGGATCAATATATGGAAGTAAATACATCAAGATATCAAGATAAAGGTTTACGCTCACGAAGGATAGCAAAATGAAAAAGGGATTATGTTAGTACTACATGTAAGTTAACTACAGAATCCAAGAAGAATGATAGTCTCTTTTACCAAACAGTAGGCTTTGCTGACAAACAAGTGAGTTATCTAAACATAATTGATAATTTCTATTATATGTTTACCTTATAAAATTACAAATTGAAATAACTAAATAGTCGTAAGCACAGAAATACCATAGTCAAACTTTTTAATAAGCTGTGAAATAACGGTTAAAGCAAAAGCATGCTGACATGAGTGTGCATCTGTTTATATTATTCAGCAACAACATTTAAATCATCTGGATAAATGATCGATAAGCAATTATACATATAATGATGAAAGATAGAATGGAATTATGATGTATGGATACTTCATATAATACACATTTCTTAAGAAACCAAAAACGAGAGCACCTTTATGCAAAAAAGTGGAGTGGTTTGTGATAACTATGCATGAGAAATATTGATCAGTCAGTAATCATATTGTTATCAATTTAAATGTACGAATTATATAAGATGTATATTTCCAGGGTATGACCCACATCTATTTCTCTAAAATAGTTACATTTTCGACCTACCAAGTAAATATATATATATATATATATATATATATATATATATATATATATATATATATATATACTGGAGCCATAATCAATAAAGGTTTTGCAAATAGATTTGTTTGAGATGGTGAAGATTTGTAGCTCAAGTGGATGATTTTGATGGATTTTTACCCTACTCAGCTGGACAGGGAAGAAGAGGATAAAAGTAGTCTTGTCCACTATATTGAAGTCAGAGTTGCAAAACATTGGTACAGAGCACGAACGTATCAGGTTCCGAACAATTTATTCTGGTAGAAACGGTTTGGTGTATCGTTGATGGAAAACGTCTTAGTCTGTTAGCACGCTTTCATATTCTCTAAAATTACTCTTGAGTTTCATTTTTAATAAACCTTTAAGATCATTCGTCAGAACTCTCTCAACCAACGACGTGCTAGAGTGCAATTGATCAGGTGGTTTCACAAGATGAGATGCCTATAACACACACAAGCAATTAATAAGGTGAGATATGTTCATGAAGAGCAGGTTTATGTGCTTCGTCTTGAGCCCCACTTTATGTGTCAGGACTTTAGACCATCCGAGAGCTTGAATCTAGAGATCAGTGATTAACAGTTGAATGTGTTAACGACTGAGCCACTGAATTATAGTGGCAATCACTCAATAAATACTTCAGTTCCTAATATAAACACATGGAATACGATTATTGGAGTGATATAAATTACTCTTCAGTTTAATGACAAACAAAAATCCATTTTTGAATAGCACAAATATGCTGAAAACTTACTTGTTTTCAGCTCTTGCCAAATTAGTCAAGTCCACACCGAACACTCGCTTCATTTGTTTAATATCTGGTACACAGTCACACGGTACAAGATCAGCACATCGTTTATGAGCCTTATGAAAAACAGAGAGTAGATCAACTGTGAATATATACAAATATATGAAGCGAAAAACTAAACAAAATGAGTGGAAAATGAACTGTACGAGCATGAAGAAACAATGAACATAAACAAGTTTTAAAAATGCTAAAAATCCTACTGATAAAATTAGAGATAGTGAGAATTCTATATTGTACCAAAATATAATATTGAATAAAGCCATTAATAATAATAATAATAATAATAAAGTAGATGAATTTGCTCTTTTAAAATGCTTTTATTGACTAGACGTTCGCTGTTTTATTTCTGATTTACTCTAAATGTTTAATCTTCCTGATATGCATTTAATAGTGTCAACTTTACTTGGATTTTGTAATGAACTTGTAGACAGGTGACTACGGTTTCTTGAGTGCGTCTACTGAAAACGACAGAAGACTTCAGCAAACTTCATCGGTAAACTTGAACGACTACCATATCATCGTAGACGTTTATTTACACTGTACCTAAGACTTCTGCTCACCTACAAAGCATGCACTTTCCTTTCAGTAGTCTACTTTTTAAAATCATAATTAGCTGGAAGTCATCGCACCTATTTCTCATCCTACGATGAAAGTTTTCATGCATTTTAGTACAGTATATTCACCTACAAGTGAAATTAATTCTAATCATGACTTTTGTCACATAAAGTACATACACAGTTTTTTTACCGGTCAATACTATTGATTCTAGCTTGTAAACAGGTGAAGAGAATCCGCGAAATAAATGAACTCATATGATTCCAATAGTCCAAATTTAACAATAGACAGAAATGTATGAAATACTAGATTTTTAGATTTTAATTCAACTGCTGAAACAACAGCAATCAGATGTCTTATTTACAACTCTACTGATACTTCAGATAATATGGTTTCGTCTTATCAAACATGAACACTCTATTTACCTTGGAAGTTATCCAAGTTAGATTAAAAACTAGCGTACCTGAAATCCACAATCTACACATTTCATGCCCTGAGCAACGAGCCCCCATATAAAATGAGTACAATAATCGCACCAATGAGGTCCACGATAAGTATGAATCCTAAAATTATGTGGTTTGACATTTGAAATAAAAGTACATGGATCCGGTAAACAAGCCATAGGCAAGTTATATCGTTCCTGAAGATTACGCATAGCATCATTTTGTGCATAGTCAGAATCTGTAAAGGATAAATCATTTAGCTGTTGTTTTGGAGAAGTTGACGTACTCCCATTAAGTTTGGAACTTTGAAATGAAACTCCGTTTGAAAAATAGTGGTCAGATAAATTACTACCAAATGAAATATGTCTTGGACCAAATGATTCGGAAGAAAATTCAGATTCCAACTCATATGACTGAGCACTCGGTAGAATACCCATGTGGCTACTAGAACTACTATTTGTACAAGAACTTAAACTGCTTGATTCCCCAGAAAAACAAGTAGCAAGAGGTGCTTGAATTAAAACTGAATTAACCGAAGAACATTGGTCACTTGAAGAAATAGTTTTAACAACGGTTGCACAGCTAGTTGCTGTTACTGTACTACGACTGGAAGCCTGAAAAAGTTAACAAATTATGATTTCAGTATGATAAAATGAAAATATAACGACAGAGAAGTATTAAACAATGGGTATTCATGAAAGGTGAAAACAACTGTTTCTACAGTTATGTCGACACCCATTTATCTACCAAAAACAGGTTTGTGTCAGTCAGTTAGCTACAACGTAGGACTAGGCATATATATGTATTGATTCAAGTTGCCACAAATCATTAACACAACATGATCACCAAATTCATAGAGGTAGTTACTTCCATGATAGTAATATATAAAAGAAAGACTGTGTATAAGGATATAGTACAAAAAGAAAGACTTAGTTGATAAAAAGAAAGATATAAAGCAATTTTAATCTCACGGTTTAAGGAAAGACAAAGAGTGTATACATCTACGCCATTGTGGTCAATTCTGAGCCATGTCACCCAGAGTCTCCAGCCACTGGTTACGATAGTCGTACGGACCCCAACCAAGTATTCTGAATCTACCGACATGGATCAAACTAGAAGTTAGTGACATCAAGGACTGATGCCACGTTTCGGTTTGGCCGCCCTTAACTCTCTTCTAACTGTCTACAACACAGGTTTGTGTACTTGACTTTTGTGCATAAGGATTAGGAGTACTTCTCTGATACTTAAATCGAAGACAGAATGAAGTTCGAAATATAAGTTACATAATTTATGCTTTTCTGTAAAATGATTGTAGATGGGTACAGTCTTTAATTTATGATATTTGTCTAATAATAATACCAGAGATCAACAATGTAGGCAATACAAATAAGACAGGGAGTTGAAAGTAAGCAATGACCTTATATTCGAAACTCAAAAGAAATAATGAATGCATCGGTATTGTTGTTGATTTTAAAACCTATCATTTAGTCTTCAACCAACGATTATGGCCATTACAAGGACCATATGCACGAGGTTTTCACTTTCCTAAATGGCTCAAAAGAGGTCAGTTATTTCACACACTGACGCTATGACTTGGAAAAGTATACCACAGACTTGTTATGAAACCAATACTCATATCCGTCATTATAATACAGAATAATCATTGATTAAGATCAGTCAGTAGGAACTGTATCTAACGAAACTAGCCTCAATAATACTTTACATTGTTTAATTGATGGATATCGCCCTTGATTCTCGAAAACCACTACTTCCCTTGTTGTAGTTGACTGAGTTCCCTTGTTATATCTTAATTCATTTAAATCGGCCAGACTTTAGATTCATTAAATGTTGGAGAAACTATATTAACCGCCTGAAGGCTACTGCTAGATGATGACTAACTTCAGTATTTCATTTACCGTTTCTGTTGACTAATTCGGATGTATTACGAATTTATCGTTATTTATAAGATTCATATTGAGGTGGATCTTTAAGGGTAGTCTCAATACTGTCTACTGTAACCTATGGTCCGTAACTTTTTCTTTGTTCCATTTATTACATATGAATATAAAGGATTTTTGGGGTTGGACAATCCTTTTTAAATCCTATTTTATAATGTCAATTTTACCATCCTTAATACCACTATTATTCTAATTTATTTACTGTCAATCTCGTTAATACCATCTCGCTTTTTAAATTTGATGTGACAACCCAAGTTGGTATACATTTGTGCTAGGTTCTACACTGATCAGATTCCCATCAAAACTTATCTTTTATTTCTCTTGAGTGCTAGTGTAAGCGATTTACACTTTATGGTTCCCTACATCGTGAAGGGTTATTTCTTCTGGAGACTGAAAATATAACTAGAGGCACGACAGCGAACTACATATGAAAACAGTTTGAAGTTACTTACATAAAAATATATTAGGTGCTAAACAACTATTAGGTAAGGCTATAAGTAGTGATGAAGACCATTGAGACACATGACTTAGCAGTCGGGTGTAGCTGGATCTAACTGATGACGTTTCCAGAAAGATCCGAAATTAAATAACGGATTGCAGCTGACTTCTTAAAAGGAAGATACTGTACTTCGAGCTAAAAGCGTCCCCTTTGTTTACTATAAGACAGAAATACTTATAGTTTGGGATATTGTTCGGTTTGCTTTATACAATGTACATGAGCAGCACTCAACCAATTATCAAATGACCAATTAGCTTAAATTGATTGAAGGGCAAAGATGACAGTTGAAAGGCATAATGTCCATAGTCAGAAATATGTATAGAAGTATTTAAAACATTATCATACACACTAACTTGTGTTGTGTGAGATGAAGTAACTCCAGAGAAAGACTGTGTGCTGCTCACACCTTCATGCACATCTCCTTGTGGTCCCAACCTTAGATGAGAAAAACCTACTTCAAAAGTAGAAGTGGTAGTTATTGGGTCAGTTTGTTGTTGTATTGGGCTACAAACATTAGACTGTTGAACAGCCAGAGGGGGATAATTCCGGTAATTTTTGAACCCATTTTTATCATCAGGCCAGTCACGAATAAGTGGTTTCGTAAAAACGACGGACTGATATTTGGAACGGCTATCAAAATGACTTGCATCCATAGACTGACGACGACACGATAACTGTTTGGAAGTGTTTGCATAGCGTTGAGAAGCTTGGAGGTGTTTTAACGGAGAAGGAAGAGGACGTTCGTTATTCATCACTTTGTTTTCAGAGGACTTTATGCTAAGGCATGCTTCTACTGCCTGAGAGTTGAAAGTGTGATAACGAACCTGAAATGAAAAGGGAGAAAGATAATAAGACTATAATTGCTTCTATGAATTTATATAGCGAGATGAAGCTTACTTCAAAATATGTCTCTAGAATAAATGTCAACATTATTGACTGAGTTTCAATTTATTTTAATTATCCATAATGAATTAGTCTTGATAGAATCGGTTCACAAAATCCCTCTACGGATAAAAAAACACTAAAGGTAACGAAAACTACTTTTTTGCTGAGATGAAGGTAAGAACGTGTAAACCAATCAGTCAGTCAGTCGTACGCAGCGTATAACCTGGTACATGTATACATTGTTCCAACTTACCATACCATATTAGCACAGTGAAATTAAATTGTTAGAGCAAAGCCCATAGTAGAGTTAGTAACAGTATTATTGGTGGTAGAGACGATTAGGCATAGAAGAAATGAATCGAGAACAAAATATGGATTAGCAGATTAACAATAATAATAACTCATAAGGAATTCAAAAACTTTGAATCTAACGAAAGACAGAGTGAATGCACCTGCGCCAATGCGGACGATTTTAGACGATTCTAAGACTCTGTGAGTGATCCCAAGGAAACCACCTGCTTCGGTCTGGACACCCGGGCAGTATCACAGCCCACACACAAATCAAGTGACGCATATGAAACCCGGTGCTCCTTTGTATCAATATTTATGTGCTCAAATAAATAAATAGATAAAGCATACATAGTATATATTTAAACTAACTCGACGAAGGATCGAGAAATTAGACGAGTGATGTACTACCCCTATTTAGAAATACAAACCTAACATCATATAATATAAGTGTAGGTTGGATATCTTTGAACGAGACACGATCAACTACTAGCAACTCTTCATGAGTCTTTTACTTTCAAAGACTATGCTTCACGAAATCATACAATTGCGGCAGTCCAACATAAACTGAGAAATAGCAAGCTATACGACTAGAAATAACTAGTACATGGAGTCCCCATGGGTAGTCTTGAAATCCGTACTCTCGATTTTACACTAAGGTGATCATATTACCTAGATGTACGTATGATCAGCAAACGATATAAAGATGTGAGGTAAAAAAATGGGAAACACATAGGCAGAACTTGTAATTACCTGCCCAAGAGCCGGGTTAAGAGACAACATACCTTATAAAACGGCGTCTTTTGATAAATGTTGGCTTCTGCAATTCTCTTAAGAACATCTGCTCCGCGTGTTTCCACATAAAAATGAATAAGGCCATCAGCGACAAGGAGTTCTACAGTGTCAAATTTAGTTTCTCCAACAAAGTGCTGCTTGGTTATGGGATCAAAATACAACTTGAAGTTTTTTGCCACTTTATCGAACCAAATGACCAAGGTATAGGCGTTTTCGGCACGTTGACTGTCTCTAATAAGGTAAGAGCCATCATGTGCATTAGAAAGCAGCTCTTCGGTTTCCTGACGCGATATTGGGCCATGATATTCAACACCATACTGGGGTGGGCAATGATTTAAAACTCGATTGCAGGGTATAACATGTGGCGAAGGAGCTTCACGCTGCAAATTGTATACTACACAATAGTAAACTATGGTTTGATAACTTACACTTATTTTTCCAGATTCGAAGTTCAAGACCTCTATCTGACATCACATCTTATTTCACAGGTAGAACCATTAGGTATCACAAAATTATAGCGGACCGACACTAACATATGCACCGGAACATTCGACCGGCCGCTTAAACTGTTCAAAATCTCGCGTTTTTTATTGACAACAGTCATGTGGAGATATGCATGACAAGCTTATTTTGTAAATAGCTTTTTGATTTTATTTATATTTATTCTGTTAGTTTTTCATAGCCTGTACATTTACCAATAAATGACTGTACGTGTTGTTTAAGTGTATGACCTTGAACAAGCTTTCTTCCGTCGTGTTACACCCATACCATAGCTCACACACCTCTTGTTCTTCATTGTTCGTGATTGTGTTAACTGAACTCTAAATCAACTACCGTCTACATTTACAGGCTGATACCAAATTATACCGTATTCTACGTTCGGTTATATCACTGGAATCTTCAGTAATTTATAATTGTGGATTTTGGTACCAAACTCAACCGGAAGACTCACAAACCTGCTGAATGAAGAAACGTCTGTAATTTTTGTAGTTTTTATAACGTTTAACTGATATATACTTACATTGCAGTTTGTACTTAATAACTTTTGAAGTTCATATATTATTTGGCCCACCACAGTTATATAGTGTGACTAATATTTATTAATGTGGAATATTTACCAATTATGAACTCAAAACTTGTGCAAAAGAAGTAACGAATCGCCTAGTTTTGCTACCCAGAAGACGACTTCTCCGAGCACGGCGTGATCGACACACGTGCACAATTCCTCGCAATAGTCAGGGCACTACTGCGAGAATCCAACAGGTACGTAGAACCTAGTATGTTTACTAGTGATGATTCTGAATACTAAGAAACACTGAAACGATCTATCCTTAAACGCGGAGACTTAACCGATAGACAAAGGCTAGACCAACTCCTCAACAACATCGACCTTCAACACGGTTCTGTGACAGACATGTTGCAAATAATGAAAGAGGCTATCGGCCACAGAACCTTCGATAATGGTCTATTCAAACAACTTTTCTTATCAAAAATTCCTCAAAAGTTGCAAGCTGTACTGGCCTTGTTTTAAAACGCCTTAAACGAGCATCTGCATCTGCCGATTGCACCTTAGATATCACGAAATTTTCTAATGCCGGGGTCTTTTCGGTCTGAGAAAGACCTTAAACGACACAGAATGACATAAAAGAGTTATGTCACACCCTTGCACGTTATCTTAAATTTTTCAACCACCGTAAACAGTCACATATCCATAGAAGAAGCACTTCATGTAAGCGAACTGTCTCTCGGGAAACTTCCAAGCCGGCACGCGTCAACGGCAAACGTAACCGGCGAACATAGTCGTCTGTTGTACGTCACAGATGTGACAACAAAGTTCGCTACCTCGTCGACACTGGTGCAGAAGTTAGCGTTTTCCCCAGCAAATTTTAACGACCGGCTTCACGAATCGGCTTTAAACTTACAGGCGGCAAACGGAAAACGTGTCGCTACGTATGGCAAAATGTACGTTTACCTTAACATGGGCTTACGCAATCCCATTCACTGGATCTTCGTTGTTGCAGATGTTTCTATGCCAACCATTGGTATGGATCTTCTACAACACCATAATCTACTCATTGATACGCGCAAGCGGAGGCTAGTAGATGGAAACACTAATTTATCCGTTTGCGTAACTTCTTTTTCTGGTTGCAGATTATCCCCAGTCACAGTTAAGCATACGATAGACCCACTTTATCAACCATTACTCGATAAGTATCCTGGCATTCATCAAACCAACCGTGTGTAACCAGCAACGTTACACATCACATCACGACTATAGAACCACCTGTATTCTCTAAAGTATGACGACTAGCTCCTGAAAAGCTAAGGTTGGCGAAAAACATGTTTGACCACATGATAGACTTAGGAATCATACGACCGTTAAATAGCCCATATGCATCTCCGTTGCATATGGTCCCTAAAAAGGACAGCAAAGATTGGCATCCAACTAGCGACCATAGGCGATTGAATGCCAAAAGCCTTCCCGATCATTATCCGTTGCCTCACATTCACGATTTGACAGCTACCTTGAAAGGTACAACTGTCTTTTTGAAAATGGACTTGGTTAAAGCGTATAACCATATCCCTATGGCTACTGACGACATAGCGAAAAGAGCTATCATTACTCACTTCGGACTCTATGAATTTTTGCGAATGCCTTTTGGTCTAAGAAACGCTGCTCAAACATTCCAAAGATTCATAGACGACGTTTTTCGAGGTCTCAACTTCGTACATGCGTATGTTGATGACTGCCTAATCGCAAGTCCGGACAGAGAATCACATCTCAAGCATCTGGATCTCTGGAGAAAATAATGTAGTCGCAGACGCTTTGTCTCACATAAATTCAAATGGATACTCTTATCTCTTAACCTGCGTAGACCGTTTCACTCGATGGCCAGAGGCAGCACCCATCAAGGACATTACTGCTGAAACAGTGGCCCGCGCCTTCGTCGAACGATGGGTAGTAAACTTTGGCTGCCCTTCAACCATCAATACAGATCGTGGACGTCATTTCGAATTCGAACTTTTCCGTTGTCTGACCGCACTATTAGGAATCACTCGCTTCCGAACGACTGCCTACCACCCACAAGCGAAGGGATTGGTAGAACGTTTTCACCGACAACTAAAAGCTTCACTATCAGCCGCAAACGTTTCACAGTGGACTGAGGCTCTTTCACTCGTCTTACTAGGTATTCGCAATGCAGTGAAAGCTGACATTGGATACACTGCGGCTCAACTCGTTTATGGAGCGACACCTCGACTTCCAGAAGAATTCGTGGATCCTTCATCCTCTTCAATGAACATGGATCTAACCTCCTACACGAACAGGCTTACAAACGCAATGCGTTCAGTTAAACCTGTCTCCACTTGACCGCAATCAACTGATGTTTTCGTTCAACCTGACTTACAATACAGTACACATGTCTTCGTTCGTCGTGACTAACATCGACGACCTCTCGAATTAGCTTACGAAGGACCCTTCAAAGTTGTTCAACGCGAACCTAAGTACTATATAATCGATAAGGACGGGACCAACGACAGTATCAGCATCGATCGCCTCAAAGCAGCGTATTTAAAAGGAAATCCTATCTACGTCGATTTTCCCTCGGTACAACCGAACGACACGACTCCGACATTCATAATACCTCATCCGACAACTAACACGCACGACGATACTTTGACAGTATCTAAAAATAAACTTAAAACAATGCGTTCTGGAAGAAAAGTAGGATTTCCAGAATATTTAAATGACTATTGTACGTAAGACACTAGTTAACATTTTGTTTCATCCAGATTTTCCATGGCATTATGTATAACGTAAAAAGTTTTTTATATATGCTTATATATATATTTATCATTTGGCTAACATGTATGTTAAAAAGATTTTATTAAAAAAACAAAGAAAACATTTTGTAGAAATCTCTTTTACGTTATTAACCTTTTTTCTCTCACTTTGTGTCTCAAAGCTCATACGAGTGTATTTCGACATGCACTTACACTTTCTTTTTTCTTTTCCGAGACGGCTGGAAAAAAACGATGAAGTTTACGAATAGCCGAAATTTTCCTTGTACTTTTCCTTCTTTTACTGTGTTGTACCTCGGTTCCATATAGTAAAGAAAGACGACCAGACACTGCTAAACGTAGCAAGCTATCAGAAGAGTCTTTACCAACGACAAACTCGTTGGGTTTAAACTTCTGGCTGACCACGTCTTAGGGTCATCACTACCCCACTAGGAGGGCAGTGATCTGTAGCGGTAAATAAATTCTCAAAATAAATAGCTCTGTAAGTTTTCGACATTGGATGCTGACCAGATTAGTTTTAGTGGACTCACCTAGCTGAAGGCGCTCAGTCGTGCATCCACACCAGATCACGTGTGATAACGCCGTGCTCAACAACCCCTGCAATCGTTAGCCAGATTAGATCAGACGATTCTCGATGTATTGATATCATATCAAATATGTCTTCCGATCTCCTCGATTCTGTTTTTTAATTTCATTTGGTTGGTACGATTCATATTAGATGTTACTGGTTAAAGCGTTGTCAAACTGCGAATACCTGTGGCATCTTCACCATCTTATTCTGTGCTTCCTCTCGGATGTGGAGGTTTTCATAAACTAGTCAACAACCAGAAGAAAATGGAAAGGAGAGAGTAGGCCGCCTTATCTGACTCCAGTCCTTACTTGGAATTCGCCTGCCAGCTATTCTTTATTCCCCACTTTGCAATGTAGTCCGTCGTATGAGTTCCGGATTATGTTGACGACCTTCTCAGGTACACCATAGTGTCGAAGAAGGTTCCATAATAATCTCCGATCCATACTGTTGGATACATTATCATAGTTGATTAATTTGATGTTTAGTGACGAATTCCATTCAATTGAATGCTCATTAGTTATCCGTAATGTCGCCATTTAGTCTGTGCATGACCGATACACACGGAATCCAACCTGTTGATCTCGAAGTTAGACGTCTACTGAGTTATTCATGCAGTACAGCAACACTTTGTTGAAAACGTTTTCTGCTACTGATTGTCGTATGATTCTTCTATGGTCCTTACATTTACGTTTATCTCTTTTCCTTGGTATCTTGATGAGATATCCTTCTTTGCATTCTGTTGGTGGCACTTGTTCTACCCCCCAAATCTTCCTGAACAGAACGTGGTCCACGTTTCCAGTTCATTGTATGTCTGAGTTCAGTGCTTCAGCCGGTATATTTTCAGGTCATGCTGCTTTTCCTTTCTTGATTTATATGATTACCTGTAGTGGCCCTAACCACACAATCCTCAAGAGCTGAACATGAAGTAACTGGGAATATTCATGTACAACAATTAGCACATAGAAAAGGTCAATAGTGGAGAATGCGAGAACAATGAATTGAATTGAATCGGATGACATGGCTCAGCCTTGCAAGCGTGGCCTTTCTTGTGTAACTCATCTCCTTTATTTATATTAAACATAATGTTCTGTCTCCAGCCTAAATGTGTTCTTTAGAAATGCTAAACATTATGTTGCTGATTACTACGATACAACGAGTCAGAATAGACAGTGATGTGACTTCTACGTGAGATCTTATAGT